ACAGGCCTGGTGAGGAGCGGCTGGGGCCGGGAGTGACCTGGGAGGACACACAGCGCCCGCCCCTGCCTGGCCCACCAAGAGGTGAGTGGGCTTTCTTTCACTGAGCCTCTCTCCCACGGTGTTTCTGCCTTGAAGCCAGCTACCTGACTCCCATGAGCAGGAGCCAAACTTAACACACTCCTGCTCACCTGAACCAGCAGTGGTACATGCACGACTATTCCATCAGACAACCTGTAACCTGTAACACTGGTGGTACAAACAACTTTTACTGGTCTTTCTACTCATAAAATTAATAAAGAGCCACCTGATATGACAGCCATGCCTGTGCCACAGAAGGTTCATGTTGCCTGGCAGCAAGAGTTGTGAATTATGGCCCCACTGTGAATGTGTTAAATGTCTTCTCCCTTAAATTGTAGGGGTCAGCAACAGGAAAGCTCACAAACATAGCCATCAGGAAGACAAACAGCAACTTCAATGAGATCCCACTACACATCTACTAAGATGATGAGAATCTGAAAGCCGAATAGCAAGGAGGCTCGGCACGGAGCCACAGAAATCAGAGCACCATACATTCTTTATGGGAATATAAAACTGGCAGCCACTGTGGAATACCACCTGATGGTTTCCAAAGGGCTAAACAGAGAGATACAGTATGACTCAGCAATTCTACTCCTACATATCCGTTCAAGAAAGGAAAATGAAAACCCATGTCCATACATCCACCTGTACAGCTGATACTGGAGGCAGCAAGAAGGTAACCAGATGGTAGAAACAACCCAAATGTCCATAAACTGATGAGTTAATAAACAAAATGTGGTCTTAACCTGTGTGATGGAAGAGTATTTAATCATGAAACGGAGTACTGATAAATGTACAACATAGTAGAGCTCTGAACATATGGAAAGTGGAGGGTGAGCTACAAAATGGACAAATATATGACTCCATTCACATGCGAGAAACAGAAAACACAAACATTCAATAACAGAAAAGTTCACAGAGCTATAAAGCAAACTTGTCATCACTTAGATCTGGGCAAACGAATAGAGAGGTCAGGGCTAAAGGACATGGGGTTTCCTGAAAAGTGATGAAAGTGTTCTAACACTGTGACGATGGTCAAGCTCAGCTGTGAACACACTACAAACCACTGAGTTGTATAGTAGATAAATAGTATCTCACTAAAAAAAAAAATGTGGTCTTTCTGCTTGTATATATTTGGTCACTTTATCACCACAAAGGGAAGCCTGAAGAAAACTGCAAAAATGTTCTTTCCAATAAAGAATACAACTTCAATTAGACACTTTGGTGAGGAAAAAAGTGAAGCCTGACTCCTACTTCCTACCTTACCCAAATGAATTTACAAGCCAACAGAAAGTTCTTCACGATCGTGGGTGAGCAACAGCTTCCTAACTACAACACGAGGCTAGCCAGACTGTGAAAGACTAATACACTGGGCCACATGAGCTGAGGCTGCTGTTCACCAAGACACCATTAAGGCCACCATTAGAGAGTGAAGTGGGTGAGTCAGTGAGACAAAATAGTTCCCACAGACACATGACACAAACTCATGTTAGGAATGTAGAATGCTCATAAAAATAGGGGGGAAAACCAGACAGATTTGAGCAGATACTTCTCTAAGAAAAAAACATGTCTAAATGGCCAGAAGCATTGACAGGATATTCAGTACATTATGGAACAAAAAATATGAATTAAAATCAAAGAATAAAATATAAAGATAACAAGAACTTGGGGCCAGGGAGATGGCTCAGTGGAATAAGCGCTTCCCTGGCAAGTGCAAGGGCCTGAGTTCAATCCCCGGTTCCGCAAAAAAAAAAAAAAAAGATAACCAGAACACGCATTAGTGAGGATTTGGAACAACAAGTATTAAGAAAATGAATTAAAACTTACTTTAAGAGTTCATAATTCTTCTCATTTAACCTCACAGCATTTTCTCTCCAAAATTTCTCAGATTTGTGCACAGGACTCCATTCCAACCTTCCAGATTTAAGTTCTGAGCTGTATTCATCAAAGGAACTATAAAAATGTTTAAAGAATTCCAAGTTTATATACAAGAATCCAACTTAATCTAAAACTGCACAAAATAAAGTGTCTTCATTGATGATGTGATTATAAATCTCTGCAAACTACCCCTAAAGAAGGATTAAACAGCTTAAATACTCTTTCATAAATAATGTCAAATTTCACTCAGAGTACTAAAACCCAATATGCCTATCAAATTTGAATACCAGGCCAGGCGTGGTGGTGCACACCTGTAATCCCAGCACACGGGAGGCTGACACAGGAGGGTCACTGGGAGCTCAAGACTCCCAGCGGGCTACAAAGTGAGTTGAAAGCCACCTTGAACTGCAGAGCAAGGCCCTGGCTCAAAAAAAGAAAAAAGAATACTTGGCATGGCATACTAAAGTGAGCATTTGCTTTCAAAATCTGTCCTCTATAAACACATGAATATGTGTCAACTTAAAAAGAGGACATTCTCAGAATTTCTACTATGACACTTGAAATACCGTCACTTGCCAGACTATCAGAAATATGTAAACACATATAAATTCTGAATACTTTAACATAAAAGAACACATAGTAATACTATTTTACTGTAAATATTGTAAGAACATCATAAAACCAAAATCACAACTACCAGTACAATTTTTTACAATGTGATTACCAATAATGTAAGTCCCCTACTAACTGAAACAGATTAACTAAAAACTAAAACACCTGTCCAGGTCTTAACCATCCACCAGAAAATTATAAACGTGAGGTATAAAAAGTAAAGCCATATTAATATGCTGAGTTGTAAAAGGCTGAAGTCAACAACTTCTGACATTGCTAGTCCTGTGGCTAACCCACTACTATTATGGTGCACTGGAATATATTGGAT